TATATTATTTGGGATTAAAATCAGGCTAGAATGGTTATATCAATCAGTATACTTCCTGGTATCAGACAGGCTAATTCATAGCCAAATTCGATAACATTATCTATATTTGAGTCAAAAGACGCTAGAGACTTGAATTTAATATTGGAAATCATATAGCAAATTTTGATTCGTAGGCGGGTTTGGAGGTCTATTTTGAAATCTGCACCAGAACCCCCAAGTATGCCTATATCATAACTAGTAAATTTGGCCCTTATTGCGTCTTTGCTTTATTGATCATATGAGAAAAAAATATATAATATAGGCTACATGATGACACTACTTCAAAATAAAATGATAAAAAAAATTCCATATGAGCAAAGTATTATACTGCTGTCCTATCCATAATGCTAATATGATTTTCAAAATCCTAAATGAAAAAATTGTCTATTAGCTTGTTATTTCCTTGCAAATGCTGAAAGTAAATCCATTTTAATTGCATAAATGTCTTGTCCAGAAGTTTCCACTCCAGTATTCTTTTCGCTAGCACCTTTTCATACTGCTTATTCAGAAGATATGACTGTATTTGGAAAAAAAATCTTTCATCACACAAGCCCTGATATCTGAGTGATCAATCTCACATGACTGGCCTATGCTACGATTGCAAACTTGAATTTAATGCTTGAACTGTTGCAGGTAAGACAATATTCTGTTTCATTGTTATACATTCGCCATGTAATCCATAATTCCCATATTTCTATCACAAATAAGGCATGGTGAGTCCCACGGCTGAGTTAATGTAAAATTATAATTATCAATCCCCCTAAAACTATTTCGGAATTTCAGGTATGTGAAATGTTCTAAGATAGATTCAATAATTAATTCTGGATAGGATGTGATTTCATAAGTGATAGGTCCACTTTCTCGTATTAGCTCAAAGCTAGAGTATTTGGTTTTCTCCTGAAGAAGCATAGCTTCGAGGGATGTTTCTTTTTTATATCTTTTATATAATTTGGTACGAATCTTATCAGTCAAAACGCTTGGTAACCCACTTAATTTAACATGCCAGTCCAGATATTCAGAAGTTAATATTTTATCGGACCTGTTCATGTTGCTTTTTATATGAATCAATTTAAATTTAATTAGGTAGTAGTTGACCTGTAAAAAAATATCACATAATAAAGTGTGAGCAAATATAATATTATAAAATAATGAGACTATGCAGTTATCTTAATTTCGTGCTGTTCACATTTAATAAAATAGGATCCAGTTTTATATCTACCTTCTATGCTTTCTTCATCACCATGATCTAACTTGCACAATAGACATGATTTCTTATCAGTAATTTCATAATAATCGAAATCTTCACTACTAAATTCTCTATATAAGTTAGGATATTGATCTAATGCCTTGTTGTGAAAATAGATGCAGGCATAAGTTAGCTTAGATTGGGATACATATGATACACTTGCCAATGAACTTACTCCCAAGGGATTTACTTGCACTTCAATCCAATTGGTTTTTGAAGTCACGTACCTGTTCCAAATTGGAACAGAATCTTCATAATTTACATCATTTGTATTAGTAGCTTTTTTAGGGAAATCATTTATAATGTCCTGAATCTGATTATCAGATAAATTCGAGATAGCACTTGCACTATAGCTAATCATTTGGATTCTATTTATTCCTATCCCATCAAACAATATATAGATTCTTTTGGCTCTAAAAGTTATTTTACACAAGTTTACATCAGTAATATCAGAAAGAAGGAGTTTGATTTCGCTATACACCAATGTTCTAGCTGATTTGTTATCAACACCATTCTTAGACTTAACATTCCTGACTCGATCCTCATATGCTTTATAGTAACAATACCAGCATAAAATCTTCTTACATCTAAGCTTCATTGCTACTTTAAATAGATCAACTATAATCTGTGCCATAACTTCACTAAATCCCATTAGAATTGCTTCTAAAGAGAGTTTAGGAATCTGAATATCAAACGCCTTATTAATCTTACCATCACCAACTTCAGTGAAGGATAGCTCCTGTCTCAAATCTTACTAAACTTTTTGATTATAAGGAATTTTTTGATACTCTATCTCTGTATTCTCAGAAGCCAGAACCCGTTTGTCTACTATAGATAATTTTACTGGTAATTAGTGATACCTGACAAAATTACCTTTCTTAATATGACGAAATTGACGAAACCAAAATGACGAAACTAGTTTTTTATTAATGACGAAATTATTTTACTTAATTGCCGAAATTATATTTAACTTGATCTAAATTCCTTGAATTAAAATACATTAAAAAATATAATAATTTTATATTTATTTATATAAAAATATTACAGAGACAAAATTTTTGACGAAATTACAATTTTTCAAAAAAGAGTTTAGTCAGGTATCACTACTGGTGATATCCCAGCCAATGATTTGTTACCAAAGGTAACTGATATACAAGCTGGAATCAATTCTTTGACTACCTGTTCTGGAAGAGTTACAAGTTCAGCACTAGTCATAGAGAGGTCCTCCTTACAATGAGTTAAGTCTGAAGTAATGGAGAATGAGTCTTTAGCAATCATCTTATTCTGAACCTACTTTTCTCGCCTGCTCTCTCTAAATTTATCACTAATACTTTTCTTATTTATCTCAACTAAGAAAGCATCCATCTTCTTTTCCTTCGATGTTTTAGTATCATCATTATTTCGCTGGTCTATCACAAAGCTGGATAAATCAACATCTGATATAGCAATCATTTTCTTATCGTTCTGTAGAGTCACCAATGAACCCTGTTCCAATATTGCGAGTTTAGCCTCAAGCTCTTTATTTTTTTGCTCTAGTTCTTTTACTCTAGCATCATGCCTGATATTCTCTTCAATAATCTGCCTCAACTTCATGATCTCTGCCTTAAGTTCGTAATTCTTAACCACAAGTCTAGCATTTTCTTGCCTAAGTAAATCAATCTCAGATTCCATTTTTGATAACACTTTTATACAAGTATTTAAAATAAAAAAGTCATTGTGTCCATTCCAATTTGAAACACAGATTACTTTTACCAAGAAAAAATTGCCAAGTATTTTATTAATACAGAGTTAAAAGATAAATACAATGGTTCAGGACTATATTACAAGTTCATTTTTTAGAATTATGCTGAATAGATATTTGTAGTTGAATTGCATTCTGTCTGATATCTTTGATTAGTATCCTATATTCTTTTCCTTGATAACCGTGATGATGGTATTTTTCATCTTTACTAATCAATAGATCATTGTCATGACTTTCGGAAATTCCATATTTGGGATAGAATTTCACCTCACTACCAAAGATTAATATAATACCATAAATGATGCAAGAAATAAATTCGCAATGAGTGACTTTGTTAGTGCTAGTGATGTACTATGCATTCTCAAAAATCCTCTATGACTCTTAACTTTAAGTTGAAAAGTACCTTCATCTTTATCGAATTTCATGTGATTTTGCTTATACAGTTACTTTTAGCACTGTAAAAGTATCAGATAAGTAATGTTCTTACAGTACTTCCTTATCTACTTATATATTATCATTATAATGAGTCAAATGGAAAATTTCAAAGATCTCATTTATGCTAGTATATTCTAACTTCATTGTAAAAACTTTTTCATTAAAACGCTCAAAAAAAAAATAATGAAAAAGTTAGTTTAATATAATAAGATATTTTATATAGATCACAAAAAAAATGGTGAGTATCACATCAAGCCAGCTATTCAAAAGATGACTCGCTAGTTTTAGCTTCCGACAGTTCACAAGTTCATTGCAGTCGCCCTCTGTCATTTACCATCACTTCACAACTTGATGCAGTATGCAACCTTTACTCCAGGCTGATCATTCAAAAGATGACTCGCTAATTTTAGCTTCTGACAGTTCACAAATCCGTCACAGTCACCCTTCGTGTTTAACCAAGTTGTGGTTGATAGGATTCATTAAGCATATTGAAAGCTTACCTTATTTTTTTAAAATCTGATAAGAAAAAATGAAGCAGAGCAAAATGCATACTGTACTCGTAAATAGCTAATAGGTTTAATCTTCATGTGCATGTTTATAATGCCTAGAACATCTGGGCTGGCATTAAGCATTTGATGCATATGACGCATCTGATACCTGAGAGGAAAGTCTCAAACACGTTATTTTCAAACTACTTTCTTTCCTGATAATACAAGTGAAATTTAAAATATGGTTAGAAATCCAGGTGTATGAAAACAATGTGAAGAAGCACAACTAGATTGGATGTTGCAAAGTGAAACTTCTACCCCTCTTTCTTTCTTTTATTTTGTAGATGCTTCTGAAAGGTCAAAATCCATACAAAAATATTCAAATATACTAATGAAAGCAATAGGTCGCAAAGGAAATTCAGATAGGCTTAACTCCGTTTTGGATAAATTTAACGTCTGTGAGCTGTATTTATATTTTATAATATTTACTATTCTCGTTTAGCTGAAATACTTTATTAATTTTATTACATACTAAATATAATTAGAAGGAAGAATATAAAAATGATTGGGAGATTTGGAAGAAAGAGAGAACAAAGGTATGCATGTTACCTTCGTAAAGTGTTCAGAAAATATTTATTTAATTTACTTTCAATATATAAAAATAGAGCGTAACGGTGACAAACATAGTCAAAATGAACTTTGAAGTTCATAATATATATAATTCTACATTTACTCGAGCACTTGAAAAATGAAATTCGAATTATGCAAACCCGGGTTCGTCTAAAAAAGTGAAATCATCCAAAAGTAAAGACCCAGAAGATAATAAAGTTTCAGATAAAGAAGAAGACTCAGATGATAATGAGCTACTACCTATGAAGATCGTGAATAGTGTAACAGTTAGAAAGCTTGCCAAATCAGGAAAGGAATTGCACGATATAATATAATATTTCTCCTCGAAACTAACAAAAATAATATTTTGCGTAAAAAATTTGATGATGAGGAGTGGCAAATTCTTGAAAATGTATTTTACAAGAAAGATAACAAAATTAGCTTGGAAGTCCCACCTCAACTTCATAAAGTTGAAACTATTTTGAATGAATATGATGAATCATTGGAAAAAGCTACAGAGGATAACTTTGTTGATCTTGATTCAGTCTTATTTGTACCTAGTTATCAAGGCAATTACAAATTTTGAAAACACTGGTTGACGAAATGGGTTGATAACATATTTCAAAGATTGTAAGTTCCTACTATTAATTGTCTACTTTTTAACTTATATGATTTTATTAATCCTTTATGTTTATAGTTTAATGTGTTTTCAATTAACAAAACATGTCTTAAATGATGAAGGAAGCAGTGAATACTAGTATCGAAGCTGGTTTGTGAATTTGCTATATGAAGACGTGTTTCTTGATCAAACAATACTATCCAATTACCAACGTAAGACTGATAAGATTTATTATATTTTATGTTATATATATATATATATATAAAATGACTAATCTATACGTTTTTAACAGTGGTGAAATAGAAAATATTGATCGCAAAAACCAAAAAGTTCTATCTAAGTCCCCTGAAGAATAGAGATCTACGGGTTGGTATCATGATGGGATATTAACAATAAACATAAATAGCATCAATTTTCAAATTGGTTTTCTTGAGGTGGTTGGAAACGCCATAGTTGAAAACCATAAAAAAAGAACGCTGACTTTCAAAAAAATTTAAAAGGTAAGAAATTAAAGCATTTCAAACATTTCAAGCATATATTATATGCACAAGAATTTAGAGCTCACGATACACAATTTTTTTTTTGAAAAAACGATACAGTTGGCTTTTTTCCAACTAACAAAAACTTTACAGGAAAAAGGAATAACTGATGAAGAAAAGCTTAAACAAAAGCTTGAAACCTATGGAATTTTCATTGATAGTAAGTAACATTATTGGCATGTTCGTGTTTATCAACCTTTACTAAACTTTTTCTTCTTTTTTTTCAGGAAGAGATTTTATTTTTTATGCAATGATTTATTATAATGGGGCTTATCTTGTTGATGAAATTATTTCGTTTACAATTCCAGACACGCCGACGCAATTATGTTTACTAAAAGATATTGTAACTGATTTATTATCGTTCAGGGTAAGTTAGTGTCTGTAAATTGCAAAATACAGTCAAACCTTGATATAGCGAACCCTTGATATAGCGAATTTTTAAATCAAATATATTAAAATTACCTTTACTATAGTGAACTAGCCAATTAAATTCTTTAAAAAATTCGTTATAAGCTTATAACGAAGTTGATATTCAGATCCTAGAATTCGTTATATCAAGAGTTCACTGTATACATCTTAACACCTTAACCATGATTCCTTATGAACAGGCTCGTGTTGAACACATATACACTCAGATAACTAATTTGTTAAAAAGTGCAACGTCTCAACATCGTTCAAGATGAATGAAAACTGATATAGATGTTTTTTCAGATACTTCAAAAACTCACAGAAAGAAAAAATAGTATTACTTGTAATAATAGGTTTTTTATGTATCACTAGATCTTGACATCTGTTATAGTTTGTGAAAGGTATTATCCAATGTATATATATATATATATATATACTATAATAAATTTACATATAAGCTATAGTATATTGACATATATATATTCGAAACATTCAGCATATTATATGAGTATTACGTTAATTCGATATGTGGCATAGTAGTTATGTGGGCGTGAAAAAGATTACTTATAATACTGTTGATTTGAGTATCAGCTAGTCTTGAAAGAGCATCCGCGTTATATGTCTTATATGCCTAATCTTAAGATATGATGACAGCATTATTTTCTCAGATTGATCCTCAATAGGTGGTGAAATGGATGATTAGCAAGTATTCTGCAACTGAATGAATTGGAATATTTGGTATACCTTGTGTTGAAATATTAATAGCAATTTGTTCTAATATTACAGTTTAGTTTTGCAATAAGTTTGACCTTTCCTCTATCACTTTGTTCTAGTTTTGCAAGTCTGACTTCCATAAATCTGTTTTAATTTTCACACTTTCGGCCTTTAACCTTGGCAGGAATCTTGTCTCAATAAATCTACATATTTGATAAAACTCTATACAGTCAAACCTTGATATAGCGAACCCTTGATATAGCGAATTTTTAAATCAAATATATTAAAATTACCTTACTATAGTGAACTAGCCAATTAAATTCTTTAAAAAATTTGTTATAAGCTTATAATGAAGTTGATATCCAGATCCTAGAATTCGTTATATCAAGAGTTCACTGTATGTGGCATGAAATTTCAGGTTAATAAAAAAATCACGTGTCCGTTCCAATTTGGAACACAGATCACTAAGCTTTTCCACTATCTCATCTAATGCAAGCACCTGTAAACCATCCATAAGAACTTTAAACGTATTCTCAGGTGATAATCTTTTGAGAAATTGATTTTTAAGAAACTATTCTAGATAGTCATAGCTTAAATTACACTCTTTCAGCTTCAAATAAAATTCCTTTACCGTATAATTACCCTGAGCCAATCCTCACATTTGAAATTTTATTCTCTCAGATAATACATGATTTGTCTCTCTTTCCCATATATCATTAATACTGCGAGAATTTTTTAGGTCCCGTTCTGGAAGATACTTTAGAATGAATGGTATTAGTTCTGGTGGAAGTTGTTCTAGTAAACTAACTGTATGCATTTTTATATGGTTAGAATATCTTTCAATAAGAAAAAATCTTTTGAGCTGATGATCACTACTCTGGACTATTGGTTGAAAAAATCAGTTATAGTTTGGATCTGACTATCAGATAATGTCAAAATATAGTCTACTTTTTTGAATGGGATCACAAAATTATCGTCTAATAATAGTTTTGAATCGCATATATCCAAAATTGCACCACTTTCTCAGAACCAAGGACCTCCC